GTTATCTATCATGTCTTCCAGTTCCGAAATCTTAGTATGATAGTATTCTTTTCTCTTCTGTTTCAGAACGTTTTTGCACTGTTTTAAGACAGTGTGATAGTTTTCCCCTAGCGTAATATTGAGAGGATCTCTGTGTTTTAGATTAGCAAGTTTCCTCAATTCGTGTCTCTTAAGACGACATTCTTTATCAAACCATTTTTTGTTAGACGAAACAGAAGATAATCTAGTATATCGTCTTTTAACGTTCTTAATTTTCAAACAATGTTTTGCGGTTGTAAAAAAAGAATCCTTTCTACTGCATCGAGAGAAGAGTTAATGTGTTTGTCTGGCCTACTGTCAACAAGAAAATCATGTATCATTCTCTGTATGTCTCTTGTTTGCAGTGCTGTTTTAAATTTTTGTGATGAATCATTTTCCCATATAAACTGTTTGGGTAAACGAATTAATGTATCATTGGTATTTTCTGTAGCTAAGTGGGTATTTACCTTAGTAATGTTAAGCCATGTCATTATTGGACTGTGATCTGATAAACTCGACGGCTCTTTGACAACAAAATTCGCGATAGAGTGGAATAAGTCTTGGTCGCATATTGCATAGTCAACAACACTAACTCCTAATTTACCATGAAATGTTGGCCTTCCCAGCGAATCGCCACGGGATCTACCATTCATAATCGTTAGATCTGCACTCCTACATATTTCTAAAAGCCGTTTACCGTGGTTATTTAATTCGTTATCAAAGCTGTGTCGCTGAAGGGCGCATAAGGAGAATTCAGATTGATCGTTTGTTATAATGGTGTTGCCCTCTTGACAGACATTGTCTGAGTATTTGCCTGTTCTAGAGTTGAAATCACCCACGAGAAGAATTGATCCAAAAGCCGAGAATTTCTCAATATCGTTTTCAAGTTCTTCAAATAGTTCAGGATAAAAGTAAATGGAATTTTGAGGTGGGATATATGTGCCACATACATAGATATCTTTTTCGGTTTTTGTATATTCTTTGGCAATCTTAAACCATAGAAAATTCGGAGATTCTTTTTCCACTGAAATCCAATCATTAAAGTTTGATTTAAAAATCAAAGCTAGGCCACCTGAGCTCCGACCACATTTTCTGTTTTTTAAAGTACTTGTACTCACAATGTTGAAGCCTTCAAGGTCAATACTTACTGATTTCCATGTCTCGGAGAGAACTATGATATCAAAATTGTTAATCATTCGTAAACAATCAGGATCCCGTAATTTGTTACCTAATGATTTTGAAGAAAGTCCATTGATGTTCCATGCAAAAAAGGATAACTTATTGGACTGACTTAAGTAGTTTGGCATATCGGTATCTTATCTCAAAGGAGAATTTACTGGATATCCTGGTAAATAGGTCAATTTCATTACTAAGAACAAGGGGAAAATCAAGATCTATATCAGTGAATAAGAGTAACTAAAGTAAAGTCTTAATAAATCGTAAAAATGATACCAGCTCCTTAGGTATTTCTACTCCCGTCATGTCAGACTGATTAGGTTGAGGGGAAGCAGGAGAGTTGATTGTTGTTGTAACTGTAACATAGAGACAGGGTGTGAGTCGAAAATAGAATATAGAGATGGAGATGATTTGGGCCGACACCTCCCTTCACTCCTACTCTCCACTCCCTTAGTACATAAACCTAATAAACATGGGCACCGATACTGTTGTTTTCTGAACTCATATAGTTATCCTTAAACTATGGTGTCATCTTTCAACTACACTAAGAGCTTGCGACTTCCAGGAAGAAGTGAACTTTTCGAAATGAAAGAGGAAATGCTCTAATGTACGTGCTTCAGGTCTTTTCAGCGCGGTTTCTATAATGCATCAATAAGCAATTGCTATTATTTCAGATCTTGAACTATAATTTTTTGCTATAAAACATGTAAAGGTATATCTTTTCCAAATGAGAAAAGAATTTATGACTTACTGACCTTTAAGCGCCGGAACGACATGGAACAAAAACTGAGGTTTTCTCGCAGTTTTTGTCGCACAACGAAAAAATACGCTCGCAAAGACGTTTTACAGAACGGCAAACTTTTTAAACTTTAATTATGGAGGGGATATCCTGCAACCAAGCAATTCGCGTAAGTGTCAACTTACAAAACACAGTTGAATTTGTTTTTCTGACTCCGTACCACTCTACTTATTACGTAATTAGGTCTTGCAAATCTTTCCTTGATCGTGCATGGTCTACTTTTAAAAAGTCACCATCCCGTGTATTATGCTACTGGTGTTGTAGTTTTTAAGGTGCCTCTGCATTAACCCTAAAAGGGTCCACTCATCGTGCTTAAATAATTTCTAAAAGACAAGGACACAATGGTGGAAATAACAATTAACGTACAAAAATCTAGCCTTAATGTACGGTTACAAATATGGATCGCGCATGAACAATTTGTGCACTTAAAAATTACCTTTCAACGAAGAGAAGCTGTGATGGTGTTTAAATCTTTGAATCGCCTTGCACCTAATTACATGTCTTCAAAATTTATTGTACGCAGCTATTTATTTAATTCTTATAACCTTAGAGATTCTGAAAACAAGCTTGCTGTTCCCATGCCATGAACCAATTACTATAGAAATAGCTTCTGCTACAGCGGGGCTGTTCTGTGGAACAATTTGTCCACTGATGTAAGACAAACAAAATCTTTGACTGTCTTTCGGAAACTGTTAACTTCTAGCTCGAACATGGCATTCATGGAAAACAGGCTTTAATTTTATAAATTAATTTTATTTAGTTAGTTATTTCAACATTCATCTTTGTAAATGCTATTACCGTTAATTCTATAGCTTTTAAACTTTTTTGGGATATTGTATATTTAGCCGGATTGTTCTTACCGTGTATAAATAAAAGTGATGATGATGATGATGACTAGACTAGCTGCCACTAAACTGCCTACCCCTCCAACCCCACCCCCCCCCCCCCCCGCTCATTATTGTCATGATATACATGTATCACATATTTACATAAGTTACACAGTTCCTAAAAAGTACAAAAGAAGGATGCACGAGAAGTTTCCCTCCTTACACAGGGGAAGTTATAAGGCCAACCTACTAAGAAATGGCCCAACTAGACGGCGAAAGAAATTTCTTTCAAGGCTTAATTTTAATCGAGTAACCCATTTTCGACGTTCATTAAGTTTCCGCAATGATTTGAAAGGTGGTTTCTCCTTGTATTGAAGAAAGTAGATTTTTAGTGTGATCATGATGAGGCTTGTGCAAGAAAAAAAGATGCCCGTTTGACCACCTCAATAAGAAAGCGTTCGATTGATCGAATTCCGGAATAATGACACGCAGAAATTTGAAAAAATCTCTTCGATCGAAAATTATGCCTCACTTAGATGAAACATTGGCCTCAAGTATAAATTCTCAACACATTCTGGATTGTAAATGAAAGGCAATAATTAGTGATTTTCAGCGTTTTTTCAGTAAGTCTTATTCCAATTGACGTATTACAAAAGGTTGAAAGACATCGGACAACTTATTCCTGAACACGGTCAATCGAGCGCACAGTAAAATCATTTAAGATAATTTAGTCAGGATGGTGAAAAAGTCGACCAGTTCAGGGCGTTTTCTGGGATTGACCTCTGGCATTTCTTAGCCACTTCCTTCGGGACTCGTGGAATTTCTAGCTTAGCGTCTTTAAATAAACGAGTGACCAGATAGTCAAATGAAAACACGTCGTTAGCGATGGACTGCCTTTCACCGCGATGTATTTCCGGTGCGATGTGCGGAAATTTGCTCATCGATTTCTCAATGTTCACCTTGGGTTTACGTAACATGGCTTTAACATTCTTGCAGCTTTTTCCAAAATCGATAATTACGGGCTTGTTTTCCGATCCGTCAATGACAACATTATTGCTCTTCAGATCGTTGTGCAAGAAACCTCTTTCATGGATGAACATTAGTATTTCGCATGTTTGCTTTAAGATATTTGCGCACATGGCAACATCTTGAATAACTTTTTCCGAAGCGGCCTTAAAAAGTGTTACGCTTTCACTACGCAGAGCGTGGAACTGGAGAACCAGATAAAATGGTGCCCGATCTGTGGAAACAGCAGACAGAAGAGGGGTTCCCCAGTGGTCTCCGATTCCAGTGATTGCCGATGCTTCTCGCCACACTTCCTCCCTTGTCTCGTTTGGGGATTCAATTATTTTCATTTCTTTAGCAACAACGCGGTATTCATTGCTACTTGGTGCCCGATTTGGGGAGTGGGGGATTGGGCCTTGCGATTTGTGAGCATCACAACATCACAATTTGCGTACTAAACTTAAAGACAAGAGAGAAGGTGTGAGTGTACCATAATCAATCTTCCTAACGTTGGCAATGTCACAATGCCACATAGGAACATTCAAAGGATATCGCTCAGTATGAAATAATGGTTAATAATCTCTTCGGCTCCGGGGAGTTTTGGTAATCATTGATTCATTTATTTGCTGTTCACCGATTTCAATAGTGGTAAGGAACTTAAAGTTGTTGTCTTGCGAGGGTGATTTATTTGGAAAGCCGTGTTATTTTGCTTTGATTTCGCGTTATCAGGTTAAAGCAAAAGAATTATTTCAGAGTCTTTTTTCATTGTTTATTTGATGATACATCACAGGATATCACCGACGTATTTCCGGTCGTCGCTTCTTCGGCTGAATTATTTGTGCGTGGCTTAGTGTGCTAGTTTGTTTAGACAAAAGAGTTAATGAAAACAGTTTGCTGTTTTATTGTTTGGTGCTTCAGATACAATCGTCCTCTTGATAATGACTAGCAAGAAGCGGGTTCGGAAATCGTTCTCAGTCGATGACCTCAGACAAGAGGGTCAACGAGAGAAACACAGGATTTTCGATCCTTCGAACGAGCATAAAATGGTCAAGAAACACTCTTTTTGTGACTGATACCGAGAACACATCTCTATCAGTCTGTTAATTCAATCGGCAACTGACGAGATCCACAAGATTAGGATCGAAACCGCGGTCTTGCCTGACCATTCACAGAAAATGTCGGAAAACATTATAACGTCAGATGGGCTACTAAATGCCCCTGGCACAAGCAATGCCTTTGAGAATGAGGATAAGATGGAAGTCTCATACGACATCGCTAACGAGGATGATCTACTCGGCAAGTCCGATGACGACGAACAAATCCTTCCATATCAAGTGCCTAGAAAACCTAAACAGCCTAAACAGCAACGTCAAAGCCGCGACAGGCGCCCTCAAAGGAGTACCAGCGAACCAAGGACAGAACAGTACCGAAAACGTCGCAGAACCGTAAACGGAGCCATAGCCTATCCGCGGAGGACAAAATTAGCCAAGCCGAAGGTGCGATCAAAGCTTTAAAAAGGCACACGGACAGGGGAACTTGCCCAGAAAACGTACAATATAGGGCGAGGGCCAAAATATCCCTCAGCGGACGAGGACTTCAAGAGAGAGATAAAACAAATCCGTAAGAACGCGGAGCAAGAAACACTCAATGCGATTATACGATTCCATCAACGAGAAATCGGCCGTTTTAAGGCCGAAACCGTGAAAGGAAAGCGAGCCGCACCGGTTATAGCACTGAACACTAAGAACTGTAGTATGATTGAACCAGCGCGCGCAGCGCAAGCTGAAAACAACGTAACGATCGAAACAGTAAAACACTTTGGCACAAATCGCCCAGTTCGGCAATATGATGGAAAAACTAGGAGCAATTGAAAATAAAGAAGTTCAAAAGTACACATGTGTATTCTCTGACTCCCACCACAAACATGGGGCCAAAAAACAAATTTTAAAAGCCAAACGGCTAGCAACTAATAAGCGCAAAGAGCGCAGAAAGGTCAGACGCCAGAAAAACTATCACAATAGAGGCGAACAAAAAAACACATAAAAAAAACTCTCAAACAAAGAACTTACAAATGACCAGATTAATTTACTGGCAAAAGGGCTTAAATTCATTCCAACACCCGTTACAAAACAAACACAAATCAGGCAACAACTCTTGCATGACTTTGATCAGTTTGCAAGAAGAATGCGTCTAATGTACATATTTCGAGGGGAAAACAATGAACCCCATCCTTACCATGTCAAATCTGAATGGGAACTACCAATACAACGATCAGTAGCCCTTGAAGTATCAGGGTGTGATGACCCAACGGAGAAATTATCATCATTTGTCGACAAACTCCTTCAGCCGATAGCACAACAACAAAAGTCGTATCTTAAAGATACTACCGACTTCGTTAATTTCATAGAAAATACGAAAGTGCCAGCGCAGGTCATACTTGTTTCAATGGACGTTACGAGCTTGTATACAAATATACCGCAAGAGGAGGGAATACACACGGTATGCAGAGCATACGAAATATTCTATAGAAACGAACCTCCTATCCCTACACAGCTACTAAAACGAGCGCTCAGGCTAATTCTCCAAGAAAATTCTTTCCAGTTTAATGGAAAAAACTACCTCCAAACACATGGTACGGCCATGGGCACGAAAATGGCAGTCGCCTTTTCTAAATATATTAATTATATATATTCTAAATTTCAAAGCGCATCTGCTACAGAGGGGTTACCCAGAGGATCTCATTAACACAACCCTCTCAGAGGTGAACTTCAAAGACAGGAAACTAGCCCTTCAACAGAAACCAAAGACAAACCAACGAATCTTGCCTTTTGTCACACAATACCAACCATCAGTGCCTAACCTAAAGCAAATTCTCATGAAAAACTGGCATTTAATAGAACAACAACCATTACTGAGCGAAATCTACAAACTAGAACCGGCCCTCGTATCTTATAAAAGAGGGCGGTCGCTCAAAGACATACTCGTGAGAGCCAAACTATAAAAAGGCTATTTTAAACACGCGCTGGGGAGTCGTGTAGGCCTGTCAACCCCATATTACATCAGAATCGTCAAATGCAAACAAGAAAGAACAAAAACAAACAAACAAACAAACAAAACGGTGAGCTTATGCACCATAATTGCACGCGTAATAAGAAAATGTCTTTTCCCTGATTTTTGCACAGAGCACAATCTCGTAGTGAAACCCTTGTCACAATATATAAAGGAATCGTTTTGCTACATAACTCATCCTGTATTGACGTAACAGATTTCGGAAATGTTAAACATCTTATGCAAATATTTTGAAAAAAGAAACTGCTTTGTTTAGTTTCTGTTCAGTTGAATTCGCACTCAAAAGAGTGCAATGTTAGTGAATGTAATGTTTTTCCCGTGAGATAAAAGCGCTACGGTAAAGGTGAGTTCCCTTTGTGATACCTTGTGATGCCTTGTGATACCTTGTGATACCTTGTGATACCTTGTGATACTTTGTGATACCTTGTGATACTTTGTGATACTTTGTGATACCTTGTGATACCTTGTGATACTTTGTGATGCCTTGTGATACCTTGTGATGCCTTGTGATACCTTGTGATACTTTGTGATACTTTGTGATACCTTGTGATACTTTGTGATACTTTGTGATACCTTGTGATACCTTGTGATACTTTGTGATACTTTGTGATGCTTTGTGATACTTTGTGATGCCTTGTGATACTTTGTGATGCCTTGTGATACTTTGTGATACCTTGTGATACTCTGTGATACTTTGTGATACCTTGTGATACTTTGTGATGCCTTGTGATACTTTGTGATACCTTGTGATACTTTGTGATACTTTGTGATACCTTGTGATACTTTGTGATACTCTGTGATACTTTGTGATACTTTGTGATGCCTTGTGATACTTTGTGATGCCTTGTGATACTTTGTGATACCTTGTGATACTCTGTGATACTTTGTGATACCTTGTGATACTTTGTGATGCCTTGTGATACTTTGTGATACCTTGTGATACTTTGTGATGCCTTGTGATACTTTGTGATACCTTGTGATACTTTGTGATACTTTGTGATACCTTGTGATGCCTTGTGACGCTGCGTGTTTTAAAGCCTTGTAGTGATACTAGAATTCGTGAACCAAATTTGTGTCACCTCACATGATAAGTGAATGGTAGAACAGACCGGCATGCTATTGGGGTGACGTTACTAAAAATTCAAGTTAATAAGGTATAGTGATTGTGTGAGCATGTGATGCGATCACAAACTTTGTGTCCTTAATCAGTTGTCCCCAAATCGTTAGCGATGGACTGCCTTTCACCGCGATGTATTTCCGGTGCGATGTATGGAAATTTTTTCATCGATTTCTCAATCACCTTGGGTTTACGTAACCTGGCTTTAACAATCTTGCGGCTTTTTCCAAAATCGATAATTACGGGCTTGTTTTCCGATCCGTCAATGACAACATTATTGCTCTAAAATGGTGCCCGATCTGTGCAAACACCAAACAGAAGAGGGATTCTCCAGTGGTCTCCAATTCTAGTGAATGCCGATGCTTCTCGCCACTCTTCCTCTCTTGTCTTCTTTGGGGGTTCAATTATTTTCATTTCTTTAGCAACAACGCGGCATTCATTGCGGTATAGGGCGATGTAGCAGTTCCCAAAGGTTCGGTTTCCAATTTTTTGGTTTTTATCCACTTTCAGCAAAGACCTATTGATCTCCTTAAACGCAAGAGCATCTGCGTTCTTGCGGATGCTATTTTTTCTGGAACTAACCTCGATTTGTTTTCGTGAAATTTTTCGGCTGGCACGTATTTCTCTTCGGTATGACCTTTCCGTTTTAACTTCGAATGTCATAAATTGACCATGACCTTGCCTCTGGAAAAAGTATTTGCCTCTGGAGATAGTTTGTTGGCGTTGATCCGTTTCTTGTTTGCGGGCAGTGATTCTGCCACCTTCTCACTTTCTGATCTCATTCTCCTCTCCCTCTTCTGGCATCTTCTGTAGTTCTGGTCCACGAGCCTTCTCATCATATTTCTCCTCTTGCGGCAACTCCTCTCTTTCTGATACACGAAAGTTCTCATTCTTCAATCCTTCCTCCCATTTTCTCCTCTATCATGAGTTATTTTGCTTTGTTTCCTCTCTTTTTGAATGCGCTCTTGAACAATACTTTCCATCCCTTACTCGGAATACTCGCTCTCCTTTTTTGCATAACTTCTCTCGCTCGTTTGAGTCCATGTTTTCATTCACGGGAAAAGACTTCCGTTACGGAAGGTAGCACGTGGTACGTGAGAATTGTCTCTAAACAGAATCCATTGTTTCAAGAACACCCGTACTTAAGCCACATATCAAAAGTAAATTCCTTTTTCCTGTCCTCACACATTTCCCTCTTAAACGGTTAGGAGAAGTTATTTTATATCAAGCGCTGTGTGATCACGTCCTTTATTCTCATAACCTATGTGATTGACAAGGAATGTTACTTGCCAAATTTTGTAGTTTGCTACAGGAAAATCGACGGTGAGATATTAACGAATCCGTTATAGCTGACAACGACATGGATCTGCGCTTTACGTTTTCACAGAAATGTTGTTTATGAACTGGAAAGTTTAAAACTTTTAGTGCAATTCAAAAGCACGCGGAACGAAAACACACGGTGGAAGGTGATCGAGCTTTAAATGTGGTGTTTTTGGACAACGAGGAGAACGAGGCTTCAGTGCCCGACATTGGATTTCTTAACCGGAGATCGCAAGATTTTGAAATAGGATATTTATCGTGGATGGCTGGGCTTACGGAGCAGATATACGCTTCCCTTGATCCTCGTTTACGTGGTAAGTGGCGAATTTAAACGGCACAAAGCCTTATACCACCTAAGCATTTAGCATCGCTTTTAATTTAGATCTACGCACTTGAATATTCCTCGTTAAAAGCCACCTAAGGTACTACCCAATCATCCTTTCAGTTGTGCGTACAGTCTTTACCCTCAAACTTTGCTATTTTCTTTAGCATTTAGCTTCTCAGTTAAGTAGCAAAGTACTTTGCGCGTCATTTAGCCGATTCTCTCACTGGTACGAGCGCGCGTTACTCGAGTTTCGCTCGTCACACAATGATCCCGGCTATTAAAGGGAGAAGAGCGTTGCGCGACGAAACAGAACGACTGTGTGCGAATGAATGAATAAAATCTCTATTTTACTTAGAATGTCAGATGATCTCAGAAAGCTTAAACTTACACTTCTCCTGTCAAAAAACTGTGCTGAAGACCCAATTTAATTGTAGCTGGTTTTGTCTACTCTCATTTCTAGGTGGTTGGGTGACTTTACAATTCCCACAAGTTCCTGAAAGGTACTTTGGGCACTTAGCTTCTCAAATGGGATGCAGGATGCATAGCATGAGGCAGGTACCTCATAAGAAGCCTCCATTTTACTGCCCATCAACAAGGCGAGTTTCCTATAAAGTGTATAGCCTCACTTCATTTACTGATGCATTGCATGAACAAACCCTCCATAAACTAAATGATACGGCCTGGTACAGTGACCTACAGAAAGTGGAGAAAAGATCTGACCTTAGCCCTCAGGAGGAGCTCCAGGCTGCCAAGAACCGTAGTTTTTGGAGCACTGTCAGAAATGAGGAGTCGTCAGGGGATCTATTAACCAAACGTCTAACAGCCAAAGCAAGTTTGGAGGTGGGTCCAAGACAAGGATGGACCACTAGGGAGGTAGAGCTAATCTGGTGGCCAGATCTGTACTCCACCACAAGGAATGGAAAACTTTCAACAAGATTCTATATTAAAAAAGTAACTGTTTGAAACTTCTTTTTATGAACAGTTCTTTTGCAGTCTATTCAATATTGATCAAACATTCAGGCAATGGCTTTAAAGTTGAC